GCCTCCTCCCTGACTGCAGCCCAGCCCAGTCCCCCTGCAAGGAAGACCCCAGCACAGCCTTCCCTTCCTACTCCCTGGGTATAGGGGGCCTGTTCCCGGGATTTGTTAGTAGGGGAGGGTGGGCTAGGGCTGGGAGGCTGCCCCGGGGCTGTTCCCGGCGGGGCCGGGCTGTGCTCGGGGTGGGTGGTGGCAGCACTGGGAGGGCTACAGCGAATTTTCGGGTGGCTGCAGCTCCACCCCGTAGCTCTGATCCCAGTGCTGCTGCCTGGCCCAAGCACAGTCTGGCCCAACACCTTTGCTGGGAAGAGTCCAGCCCGCCCTGCATGTCCCCCATGCCCTCCTGGGGTGCATGCCCCTCCCCACACCCCCCAGACGAGCCCCTCACAGCTCCATCCCACTGTGCAGGGCCTGCCTCTGCCCCATCCCACTCACTGCCATGGGGGGGCAGGGGAGTGGGGCTAGGGCTGGGGCCTCAATATGCCCCATGTCCCGTCCCCCCCACACACAGCCTTTCCCCTGCCCCTTCCCCTACAGACTTACCTCCTGGGGGGGGTGTGCCCCCAAATAATTTTTTCTCCCTCTGTCTCAGTCTACACACCCCTCTTTTCCCTCCCCACAGACTTAACTGCTGTCTGTGTGTGTGTGTGTGTGTGTGTGTGTGTGTGTGTGTGTGTCGGGGGGTGGGGTGCACGGTAGATCTTGGGTTGCTTTTAAATTAAAAGCGAACTCCTACTTTAAAAGGTTGGAGACCACTGTCTTAAATGGTCGGAATTTGTTCTACCTTAGGTGTCCAACCACAAAAAAAGGCAGCAAGTAAAGAAAAAGAGCAAAAAGAGATCAAAGCCGACAAAAATAAGGTATGTAATGTAGTTATGAAAAATGAACAGTACTAACATTCAACAATATCTACAGCAGGCTAATGCCAGGTGAAAGTACTTGTTCTACAATAGATCTGTTTTGATGTAAGGTCTGGTTTGGGTAACTGGAAACTGAGTGCTGTTTAACTTAAGGGTGTCAAACTCTTCTGGCCCTGTGGGCCAGATTAATGACATGGGACCAATATGTAGGCCAGATCAGGCGCACGGACCTGCTGTTTCCCCCAGTTTGTCATGGCAGTCTGGGTTCTGTGCTATGAGTGGTGCTTCCCCCCCCCCCCCACCCCATAGCCAGTCTATGACCGG